GCCTGATTAAAGAACCTGCACCGCACTTAGCAGCAGTGCGGTCTTTGGGAACAGGCGGTGGGACTTTATGATCCTCATCAGTGCAACTCGCTCCACTGCACTACAAGACACTTCTCGACTGCTCACAAACGCAGGCCTGCGCGCTTGCAATGCTTTTTGCAAAACATCCTCCGCAGTTTCCTCACTGTCGCAGTCATCCTGCGGGACCCCCTGTCCTCGTGCTGTAGGAAATCCCAATCCTTGCAAAGGAAAGGGATGACGGAGCACGACCAAGAGCCAGTGCTAGCCTGATTAAAGAACCTGCACCGCACTTAGCAGCAGTGAGGTCTTTGGGAACAGGCGGTGGGACTTTATGCTCCTCATCAGTGCAACTCGCTCCACTGCACTACAACACACTTCTCGACTGCTCACAAACGCAGGCCTGCGCGCTTGCAATGCTTTTTGCAAAACATCCTCCGCAGTTTCCTCACTGTCGCAGTCATCCTGCGGGACCCCCTGTCCTCGCGCTGTAGGAAATCCCCATCCTGGCACAGGAAAGGGATGACGGAGCACGACCAAGAGCCAGTGCTAGCCTGATTAAAGAACCTGCACCGCACTTAGCAGCAGTGAGGTCTTTGGGAACAGGCGGTGGGACTTGTGCCAGCAATGCGTAGTGCTACCATGGGTAGACACACTGCGCGCGCTGCCAGCCTATTTCAGGGGCTTGAGTCGGAAATGGGGCGGGGATTCTGTAAACCCACAGCATGGCCAATCCAAAGAAATCGATTCAGGTGGGAGTTGTGGCTGTCTGCGCCAGCCTGGCAACAAACCAACAAAAGTCCAAAGTTCAGGGTGGTTTAGTCACGCATACCCAACTAGTTAAGACATGCGAAAGGGGACATGCACAAACACCTCGTGCGAAACGAACAAGTGTACCTTTGTAGATAGAAGTGCAACATCGTGCTAAAACAAACAAGATGCGCGTGTGTTACCATTCTCTGCAACTTGGCAGGTGTTGGATGTTCACCTTCCACCCTCAATGTTTGCCTCTGGACTGAATCAGGATTCTGTCTGAGAGTTTCAACCGAGCTCGGACAATCTGCCTTCTCCCTCCAAACCGAAGGATAAGAAACACACAAACCTGGACCCTGTATTCAATCACGTTTGAAATCACCTTCTTGGGGCATACCAATCTTTTCTTACTTGTTTATAAATATATATACATATATATTCTTCTTTTGATTTTTTTTTTTGGGGGGGGGGTTTGAGGCTGGACCATTGCATCACATTGTGAAGATAAGCCGCCGAAGTAGTGAAGCCGCTCTCCGAGGCCCATTGCCAATATATCAATGGGTTTTGGAGGCGAGGTTATATCACGTGGCTGGAATTAGGACCCCAGCAAAAAAATATATTTGTTGCCTGGTTAGTGGAAAACCAAGAAAACCCCAAAAAAGCAAAAACTAATAAAAGAACTAATTCTGGGGAAGATAATATAAGGGAATACCTCACAAAGTCCCTGGATTGGGGGTAGGGTTGTATACACAAGCTCTCACAAGCTGCGCAAACAACATCCACACCGCCTCAGTTACCCAAACGACCCAAACAAATAAAAGGTTAACCTTTTGGCATCTCGACTAAGCAAAATGGCCCAATATGGAAAAACTCATGAAATCGGTTCGCTTTGGGGCAAGCGAGCACCAGCGTAGGAAAACGAGGAACGCCTTTGACGATTGAAAAAAGAAAGAAAAAAACTCCAACTGCGGGCATCGGCCAAGGGCCCCGACTGAAGGGCACTTGGTTTCAAGGTGGTCGGTGACAAGTCAGTGCCAAACTTGGCCAGAACAGCCATGAGCCTACGAATCTTCAACAGGGAAGGTGGAGAAACAGTCATAGCTGGCGGTGGTCCCGAGAGAAGATCCCAAAACACGTGACGCTCGTCTGTTCAGCGCTCTCCCTGTTAACGAGCCACCCACAAAAACAAATGGGACCCCGGGATGAAAAGCGCTTAAAATGTGAACTGGATTCAGGCAATCCCTAATCCTGCCAGATGGTTGTGAACCCATTTCTGTTTTGGAGCACGTTTGTACTGTCAATGTCATTATGATAGTATCTCCCTTGATCTTAAAGGGCACTAATGACTACTGGAACTATCTTCGCACATGGCGCAGGCCTACCTTTCTGGGGTTCGGGAAACCAGGTTCAAAATGATAGCCACCAAGCTTTAAACTTTGCAAAATTCATGGAAATCGTCTTAAACCCAACAGTTTCAACCCAAGGGTTTAAACCTCACTTTCTGAGTGGGTTCGCCAAAAGAAAGTAAGCAACAAAATGTTTGTATCTTTGTGTTTGCCACTTAACTGGTACCAAAAAGTGACTCAAGTTCAAGACGAGACTCAGGAAGTGAGTCAATCTGGAGACAATCATAGACATCTTTCTTGTCAAACCCAGGCTCAAACCCAAACCTTTCAACCATCAGAGGGTTGGGTAGGACATTCTGCATGAACACCTTGTTCTTGGATCTCCTGAACATTTCCCCTAACCCAACGCCTTTCTAAAAACTCTTCTCCGGAATTCCTTCCCGAATTCTGGAAATTCCCCCCGCAAAACTTCCGACTTCCCACACTTCCGCCTCCAAAAGTCCTTCGCGCGCCGAGCCGCCCCGCCCGCCCCAAAGGCTCGGGCTCCGCCGCAAAACCGCGCGAACCGCGCGGCTCGCTCCGCCTGCGCCTCCGCTGGGCCCCCGGCCGCTCGGAGTCCTCCAAGTGCAGCTCCTCGAAGCCCAGCGCCGCCACCGCCTGCCGCCCGCCAGACACGCGTGAGACGCCGAGAGTGGCGCGCGCGGATGCGAGAAAATCGCCCGGGAAGAAGAAGAAGCGACCAAGAAAAGCGCCCGGGACAAACCGAACACGCTCCAAACCGAAACGGGAAAGGGGGGGTATACGGGGGGGGTATACGGGGGGGGGGGGGGGGTTATAGGGCTGCTTTGTTTCTTCTTTGCAAGGGTCATGCTTTTTGCTTTGAAGGGGGGGGGAGGAGGGGGGGGGAGGAAGAAGCCGGGGAAAGAGGGAATTCACCTTTCACCAACAAAAAATGTAATATAACAAATAGAACGAGTGGGAAGGGATTTGTCAGGGCAAGCTGACTCCAAGCTTTTGCAACCCAATGGGGTCATGGCAGGGGGACCCCTTTGATTGTCTGGTGTCCCTGTAAATCCCCAAAAGAAGTGGGCACCCCCAAAAAAAAAAACATCTGTTGACACACCGTCCAGAGGGTGAGAGAAACCTGGACCCTCAAACCCCGCAGTTGCCCCAGAGAAAAAATGGGGACATGTGCTAAATATGGACCAAAAGCGGAAGGGGAAACCAAAAGGTGAAACCAAAAGGACATGTGCTAAAAATGGACCCATTTTTGGACCTTTACCAAAAATGGGCCAAAAGCGGGACAAAAAAGTTAAAAGGTCCTTTGCCTTGGACAACTGAGCGGTGAGAAACCAGACACGCATCCCATCATTGGGGAGTGAGGGACTCCCGTGGCAGGTAGACTTCCAATGTCAACTAGGATGCACGGCTCACGATGTTTTGTTATTCCCTCCCTTTGTCCACTAGAAATATATATATATATATATATTTCCAGTAGTGATAGAGTCCCTACACCACCAGGGGAAAAAACAAACATTTCCAGTAGTGATAGATTCCCTAAAAACACATTCCCAGTAGTGATAGATTCCCTTTAAAACCACCAGGGGAAAAACACAAAAACTTCTTCATTTTAGCAACTGGAAGTCGTATTTTGCCCGTCGAAACCCGAAGCCGCTTCTCAAAAGGCCGAGCCATGTTGCAGACTTGGGACCCCGCGACTGGGGCGACGAAAGTTACAGATCTAGATCCCCACTGGCTTCGCTGCCCGTGTTCGGATGTTCCGCTAACAGTGAGTCTCACTTTTAGTGGGTGAAATGGAAGCAACAAAAGGGGACCCCAACAAAGCAAAACAAAATACAAGGGGGAACTAATTCTGGGGAAGTTTAGTGCGTTACATGGAAGCTACCACTAAACACTAACAGGCTAAAAGGCTAGAAACCGGATGGCTGGGAGCAAGCCCAATGGCTTCCAGCTCCAATTCTGCTCACCAAACCTGGCCAGTGGCCGTAAAAATAATGTCGGCTTGAACCTTGCCTTTCATGTGGGCCAGGGGCTGGTGAAGCCTTAAGATATGACCCGGCCAGAAAGACGGTTCGGCAAGCTCTGGAAATGAAGGTTGCCTTGAAGGGGCAAGAAAACATGAAAAAAATACCTTTGGGGAGTCGTACCTGCTCATCACCCATCTTCCTCTCAAACATTGGCCCAAGTGATGTCCACTGCAAAAAGAAAGCACCCAAGGTGGCTTGTGGCCTTGCAAGCGTGCTACGTGGTCTGGAACAACTAATGACTTGAATGCCGACTGGTCTCTCTGGTAAATTAAACTTAGGCCCATGTAGCACCCATGTCCGAACATGGTTCAGGTTGTGTGATCGCTATCCACAATCTTTACCATGTGAGGTTATGAATCAACACTAGAGTCCCCTTGGGCGGGGACCCAGTCATGCAGGGTCAATGCATTCCTCGCATTCTTCGAATGCTTCATTCCTGGTCCTCAGGTCACCTTGTTACATGGTTTCCAATATCCGTCAGCACAAATACACTCCTCACAAAGCCAACAAACACCCAACCCAAAGCCTCATGGGTTCAACAACACGCTTTTTTTTGCATCCAATCTGCATACTGAGCGGGTTGGCCAGACAAAGTCCCAGGAACTCAGCAAGTGAGGGACATGCGCAGGCCCGGACTTTCACCATTAGCTCATGAAAGCCAAATGCCAAATGCTCGGTGAGCTCAGCCGAATGCCCAGATCCCATGATCGACCTATAGCCCCCTCGAAGTAAAAGGAAGACAAATCAACGAGGTCCTCCAGATTTGAGGTTAGCATAAGGGTACCTTTCCTTGTTTTTCTCCTTTTTTCTCGGTAGTCTATTTTAGTAGGGGAACCCTCCCCCAAAAAGGGGGTCAAAAAGGGCACCTAGCTGGGGACCTAGTTCATGATGGGTACCTGGAGTCATGATGGGCCACCCCTTTTCGGGTGATGCCTTGTCAGGGTTGAGACTGCCATGCTTTTTGAGTTGGGGACCCGACATCTTTCGGTGGGACTGTCCGGATTTTGGGAGACTTCCACATGGCGGCTCCCGGGCCTGGAACAGGTGCACCACAGGCATAGTGTTGCTGGTCTTCACCGAGTACTTCCTGCACGACGTTTGGGGAGCCCCACAGGAATGAGCTGTGACCTAGCTGGCACCATCCCCAGGACTTCCTGAGGTAGTTCTATACCGTGCCACGTAGCTGCGCGTTTCTTGATGTGTATGGCCCCAGTACAAAGTATGATTCCCCTGCCAGTGCAGCCTACATATGAGCAAGGCTGCTTGATTCCCCACTGACGCCCAAGCCCAAGTAATCAGAAACACTTTCACTGATGCAAATTCTTCGGCCAGATCTTCTCAAGATTTCGTAAGCTGCCTATAGGGCTGCCCGTTTATCAACTAATCACTTCCACATAGCTTGCTGGTGCGAGAGGCAGCGAATGAGAAATGGAATGACCCCCAAATAAACCATCCAACTGGTTTCCTTAAAGGGAACCCCTACTGTGGATGGGCAAAATCCTGCACGAAATGAAACCATGGTTGAAACCACAAGGCTTGGTGTTTGCGTTAGGGAATCAGAAACCGAAACGAGTCAAAATCAAAACCTGGTACAAAAATGGTCGACCCAGAACCATGCTTCAAGAATTAAGAAGGCGGATATCCGCAGCTATTTATGGCAAGGGGATTCTCCCTTACCCTCCAATTCTCCAGGTGTTGATTGCACGTGGCTCGGTTTTGGGTTTCTGAACATCACCCACCAAAAAAAACCCTCACCTTTCATGGCCCAAAAAGGTGAGGTTTAAAACCACCCAAAAGGGAAATACCTCGCTGGGCCCCTGAGAAACCGAAATTTTCCGAACGGCGCCGCGAAATGGATCCTGAAGCTCTCGCGCACGAGGTGCAGATCCCAGTCTGACCACAGGACCTGGGAGATAGCCCGTCTTTTTGCTGAGAGGCCCCCTGGAAGAAATACACCTGGAAGAAAAAGAAGATATGTTTTCTTTTTTTTCAGTAGTGATCAATTCCCTGCAAAGCCAGCAAGGGACAATAAAAATAAGTAAGCAGAAGGAAGCCGGGCCCGGAAACCTGCCCGCGAAAGCAGGGCCCTTCCTGATATGTTGCTCTTGAAGAAGGAAACTCGGGCAAAGGCCCGATTTGTCAGGGTCCTGGAAGATCAAGGCTAGTTGGTGGTGTGGATTTGTGGTTTGGGGATTTGAACCCCTGGCTTTTGCTTTTTGCAGAGGGTAAATGGGCCTCTGACGAAAGCACCAATCCAAATCACCAATTAGTGGAGAACTGAAGAGCTGGGGAGATTCATACGACTCGCCTCTCCGAAGTATTTCGCACACGGCGATGTCAAACTTGTGAAACTACAATATGTATATATATATATATATATTTATACATTTGGCACTCTTAAGCAACGTGATAGCACATTGGACAAATTGGGAGTTGCGTGACAATTTGCGGGAAATGCGGCCAGCCTGATCAATGTACCTCCCAAACGAACCATACACTACCAATAGCTTGGACCAAGCCTCATCTGGTCACATCGTGTCTCGAAAAGGAGTTGAACTCATTGCTCGCCGACATATTTTAGGTGTCTCTGTTTTTGAGGGTATCCTTGTTGGATGGTTTTAAAGGCAAACCAAAAGGGGGTCCAATTCCTAAAACGGCAACGGTTCCTTTAGTTCCTGTTCAAATCCCAACAAACACAGCTCCCTTTTGGACAAAACGGAGATGCTGACAGTGTAGACGCCGACCAAACACAGTTCCGCCCGGCCTGGAAACAAAGGCTTTCCTTTCAGCCCTGACTAAACGTAGACCAAAGGGGAAAAACCGCAAAGGTCGGAAGGTCGACATTGGACAAGTGAGTGTGGTGGTCCTCCTTGATGTTAACCCCGGATGAATCAACCCCTGCTTATTCATAGGGGAGGTCCCTGGGTTTAGCGGGGGATCATCACTTTTGCGGGGTCCCCCATTCCCTCAATAGAACCCCTAGATCCGGGGTCAACATTAAGCCTGGCTGATTAATAACCCCCCACTCTTAGTTCAGGGGGCGAAGGTCCCTTTGTAGTGAAGCCTTTCCAGGAAAACGCCCCTGATTCCTACTTCGTTTTTTTTTTTTCAGGGGTCGACATTCGTTTAGCACCCGTTTGCACCCCAATTTCCCATTCGCCCGTTGGGGTGCCCGCGTCCGGCTCGACCATCTCTGCCTCCTCCAGCGCGTGCTTCACCAGCTTCTGGAGTAGCCGAAGGTTCTTTCGGGGGGTGGGGATCTTGGGGGGTCCAAGTCGCCCATGTGTGTCATACGGATTTTGGACTTTTGGGGATTCGTCAATTACAGATTCCTATCCGCGAACATGAGGGTAGGGAAAGCTTTGAGGCCGGAATCCCAAAAGGACTTTGGAACATTATGGTACTGCCCCCTGGTCTTTGCGGTGAAATTTAGTGTCCCCCCAGGCAAAGCACTGCATCTGAAAAGGATGATCCGGATCACCGCGAAGTGTCCACCCATCTGGGAATCGTTTTTCGCATTGATATAAACCCGCAGGTTGACGAATATGGGGGGGCCTGCCGTGTTGGTTATAGCACACTACCATACCAACCCCAGTCATGTTGTATGTGACTGGAATCTATAATAAGGATTTGTCTTGGAACCCTCCAAAAAGCCTCGGCTTCCCTTTAAAACACACACAAAAGCGTACCCTGGAAAAAGACCGACCCATATGGCAAACATAGGGCAGACCTTCCATCAGATCCCGCTTCCGACCCGAGGGCAAGTCGGGGCTGCCGTATAGAAAGTGTGTTTGCAGCATTTTGCCTCGGGGTGTTGCATGGAATTGGACACCCGCGACATTGCTCCGCTGCGAAGTAAGCAAACCCTCGCATTGCTTGGCCGGAATGGAGCATCCAGGCAAACAAGGTGGCATAGTTTGTCTATCATAGAAGCGCGCAACAGGAGCTTCTGCAGAAAATTGATCCAATACCCACCCAAACACCGGGATTTCCTGAACTTCCTGTACCTACTTGAGTAGAAACGCACAACACTTGCTACGTGATTTGCAAACAAACATGGCAAACACAGGCCACAGGTTCCAATTTGTCCACGGCGAACGTAACTCACTGGCTGGCCAGAAAATCACTCAGCGAGGCAAAGGTGAGGCGATCAGCGTCTGGATCCTGGCGCACCGAGGTGCGAAGGGAACTCGTGATTGAGAAACTAGGTTGGTGTCTGCTCCCCGGCTAAACGTGAATCACGTTTAGTGGTTTAATACGGAAAACCCATTAGTTGGCAAAAAGTTCAAGTCCTAACATCCAAGCGACATGCAAAGAAACCGACTCTGGTTGATTAATAGGGCCTCCTGTTTTTTCACATATTGCGGAAGATCTGACTTCTGCTCAGGCTTTGCAACTCTTTATAGATATACCTCCACTGAACATAATAGAGTTGCACAAATGTTGACCCCGAATTAACAAGCCCTTCTTAGTAATTCTTCATCGGGGGGTTGTCCCTGGGTTAGTGGAATTCGCCACTTTTGGAGGGGAGGATTCCCCCCATATTAATAAAACTGGGATTGATTAATCTGGGGTCAACATTAGGGGTGTTTTCCTGCAGTGGGGGTTCAGCGTCTTTGGCCCCGAGCACTTGAACGACAATTCCGCTGCGTTTGGGAGGAACAACACAATATTGTCTTGTTTGCTATCTGCCCACACAAGTCCATGCCTATACGACTCTGCAACTGTGCGGCTCTAGCCTGTTTTGAGTACAGTTTTCATAGCCTAGCTTCCTTTGAAAAAGGCGGTACCTGTGGTCTAAATACATGCCGCCTCCAGAAGTCGCATCTCTTGCTGTTGTGTCTCAGTCACCACCACATGAGGACCTTTGACCAGTTGCGGCTGGCTGCAAGGCCTGCTGGTAAATATCCACAGCAGATCTATTTGGGATGAAGCCTGTGAGCTCTTCGTTCTAGGCCACTTGGGGCTTTTGCATTACAAAACACAACAACCTGTCACTGATAAAACTGGGTAGAGCCACCTACCCAAAAGCCTCGTACCCACTCTTTTTTTTCGGCCCTTTGCGCCCCACAATCTCGGCCCAGGAATGGCCAATTGGGTAGCTTAGTGGCGGGTATGAGGTGGGGACTCAAGGAACTGCAAATAAAACCATCTCGGAATGCGATGCCATGGATAATGACAAGTGCCTAGTAGCTTCCGTGGTTAGTTTATCCATAAGTTAGCTTCGTGGGTAGCAAGGAGATGTAACCAGTGGATTGAAACCACTAAGCAAGATGTCAAGGGAGCCTGGGCCCTTAATGAGCGACCTCTTCTATACGATACAGTGAGCTTGAAATCATTTGCCCAGAATTCATGCTTGTCGAACTCTACAGTCTGTGGCAGCAACGATGGCCTTGCATCGAAGCGAGCTGGACCAGCTCCTCGTGGTTCAATGAAGCTCTCAACAGTTCCAGCGGCGCGAAGAGAGCATCCAGCTGGCAACGCGCTGCCAGCTCAGCCTCATCTCGACGCTCTGCGCGCAATTTCTCGATCTTCTCGATGAGAAGCGCTTGGCGCAGCCACTCCGCGGGTGATTTGGCCAGGCCTTCAAGTGGACAAGGCCGCCTGAGCACACCTGTCAGACGGAGCGCAGAAGGCTTTCCGTTTTGCTGACGGGTTGTCTCTAGTTTTGACTCGACGCATCCCCAAATGGACGAAGAACGTGCCAATCAGCTTGTAGCCCACAGCACCCAGCAATTTTGGAAATGCGGCATGAGAACGGGTTGCTTGTGATCCTTGTGAACTCTGTCCAAGGCTTCCTCAAGTCCCCTGGAAATAAAACGAAACCCTCTAAAACCAGAGGAAAATCCACCAAATTTTCCTCACTTCACATCGAGTGGGCCTGGGTTGGCCAAACAAAGTCACCAAACGTGTTGTTTACCACTAGAATGGTCCAAACCCAAAAAGTATAGGAACTCGTCAAGTGACCTTCTCATTTCAAACGCGAAAGAGGGCAATCCAACCCTTGGCCAGGCACCCAAAGGCGCCCTTAGCCCGCTCACCAACCAAAAGCGAAGGTGCCAGTGCCCTTTGCGGAAGACTAGCTCGTTGAACCAATAAAATCTCACTTCCTAAGTGGGCTGGCCCCAAAAAGTCATTTTCTTTGTTTTTATACTTCCAAGTTTCAAGTCGAGGAACTCGGGAAGTGAGAAATGAACCGCAGAAACTCTGACAACGAAGTTCTGTCTTAAACTTCTAAAGAACAAACACTGGACATGCGGGTGACAAAACCGAAACTCAAGTGGGAGCCTGGGTAACTTGGGTCACTGAGGGCACAATATCCATCTTCAGTCTTGGTCCATACTGTTGAATTGCTTCAAAGCCTGCACCAGTGGGGATGGACCAAACCCGCACGGTTGATACCGGGATAAACTGCTTACCTGGTGCGAAATTGACTTTTGTCCATCAGTACTCAGTAATGTTGACCCCATACTAATCAACCCCAGTTTATTAATAGGGACGTGTTGCCTCCAAAAGTGGTCTGATTCCCCGAATTTCACCCAAGAAAAGCAGCCCCCGATTAATAAACTGGGGTATATTCATATGGGGTCAACATTAGCTTAATATGTTGCTTTCACATAAGTGCATATATGGCTACTTACCAACAACTGCTTTCGAAATGGAATTTTGTCCATCAGTATTCAGTAGAGCCAGTCTTCCGCCCCCCCCCCCCCAACAAAAAAAACAAAACAAAAAAACACTTTTCGGGGCAGACTTTTAGCCGAACCCACCCCTCAGCCGTAACCCCTCCCTCGGTTTGGAGGCCTCCAAAACCTGCTGCAAGACTGAGGGCGGCCAGCCCAGAAGGTACCGCAGTACCTGAGGCGAATCAAGGCCCTGAGAGCTCCCAACACCTGCGAGACCTGCGTGGCTCCCATAGGAATCATCATGTTCTTTTTTGGGGCCCGCATTTCAAGACACGCCAAGCAAAAAAAACAAGAGATGTCTAATGATGTCTAGGTCCTCCAAATTTGAGAGGTTCGAATAAGTTGGAACCTGGTTTGTCTATTTTAGGGAAATACCCTCCCAAGCCAAAAAGGGGTTAGAAAGGGCACTACTGGGGGACCTAGTTGTAATGTCTTAAAAAAGAAACAAAACCACTACCAGGCGGATGATCATCCCTCACAACCCTAAGTGAAAGGGTGTCTTGCTGGCGCGATAGCGAGTCTTCGGAATGACTCCAGGCTTTGGTCCCCGAAAAAGCAACCCAGTTGGGTGCGTTAGGTAGGGAATGCGGGCATGTCCATTGCCATTGCTTGTTCTTCAGAAATGAAAGACGGAACTTTGGTGGTTGCTGTGGTTCATTTTGTCTTGCTGGTGCGATAGGTAGGGAATGTGAAATGGGATGAACCCAGGCTTTGGTCCCTGAGCAAGGCAAATCACCAGTTGGATGGTTTATCAGGGTCATTCCCTCATTCCCTGCTGAGCACCAGACAGAACTACCTGCGTTTTTGCTTGGGGTGGACCCGGGGGGTGTTGGACCGCAGGTTCTAGTCTAGTTTTGTGTCTTTTTCTTGTTTTTGCCGACTTCCCATTGTGACCACCCCACTAAATCAACTCACTTCCGGAGTGGGTTGGCCAAACATGTAAAGAACCTTGTTGTTTCCCACTAACATGGTCGCACCAACCAGTGACTCAAGTTCAACTCTGGAAGTGGGTCAACCCAAAAAAAGGCGATCCCTCTGGAACCGAATCTCCTTTTGAACCCTCCCTGAAAGCTGCCCCAAACCACCCCTTATCGCCTGGAGAAAAAAAGCACATCGGCGCTCAGCAAAAACAACAAAAAACAGGTGGTATCCCCCGAAACGTTTGGAAACCTCCTTGAGAGCCCTTCCTGAAAGCTGCCCCAACCCAAAGAACCCCTTATCGCCTAAAAAAACATCGGCGCCACCATCCATACCGACCTAGTACTAACATGAATTCAACAACAAACCCACCAACCCCCCAACAAAAACCCGGGGAGATCGAGGCTCCCAAAAAAGCCACCCACCTTCCCACCTTCCCACCTTCCCACCTTTTCACCTTCCCACCTTCCCACCTTCCCCCACACCCCCCGCATCCTCGCCATGTTTTCCCGCGCCGCCGAGGCGTTCGAGTCGCGTTCGGAGCATAGGTGGCCTTCTGGTTAAAAATCGCTTTTAACCAAACTAACCGATCAAAAGGATGCTATGGTTCGGCGCGAGGCTCCGAAAAACCTTCCCACCTTCCCACCTTCCCACCTTCCCACCTTCCCACCTTCCCCCCCTCCCCCCCGCATCCTCGCCATTTTTCCCGCGCCGTCCGCGCCGAACAAACGACGCGCCGTGCGACGCGTTCGGAGCGAGCGAGAGGCCGAGGGGCGTGGTTCATGGAGCGCAGGCTGGCGCTCCGCCGCGAGTCCTCCTCGCGCCAGGTCTCGAAGGCCGCAGTGAGCTGGTTGAGCACCTCGCCGCGGCTTCGCGGCGTTTCCCGTTTTTTGGCTTGGGGGGTTCGGCGGTGTCCCGTTTTCGGCCGTGGTTTGGTCGCGTCTCCGCTCAGAAAGCCGATTCATAAGGAGTGGTTTGGAGCAGCTTTCAGGGAGATTCTTTTCAACAGATTCGGTTCCTGCGGGTTCCGGGGTTTGTTGGGGGAGACCTGGACTTCCTTTCCAGCCCCACAAGTAGCCACGGCTTCCCTAACTTGGGGTTGTCTCCACTGCCCCCCAATTGCTTTTTTTTTTTTTTTAAACGGTTTTCACTACATCGGGGAGACGGTGGACTTGGGGTTGTTTTTATAATGCCCCAAGTTGTGTTGTGGTTGTCCCTTTGGTCTCCAGTGAACAAACCAGGGAAGGGTAGCGGCAAAAGACTCACCCCAAACATTGCCAACTTAGATTTCGCCCTCTGGTTTTGAGGGAGATTTAGGGAGTTCCCCCTGTCCCAGCATGATCCCTTGCCACCGTTCTAGGATCCCTACAGACCTGTTTCCACTGTGCTAGGATCCTTCCTTTGCCATCGTGCTAGGGTCATCCCTTGCCACTGTGCTAGGCTTGCTTGCCACCATGCTGGGATACTTTGCCACGGTGCTAGGATGATCTTTTGCTAGGAGGCCCTTTCGTAGGTAGCGGTCAGAGGCACACAGGCTTCTGAGATATAAGAAAACTAGATTGCGTGCACGGATTTTTGCTGGTGGGAGATTTTGGGGAGTTCCCCCCTCGTGCCTCCCAAATGGATCATCCTGGACACGTTAACCAAACCTCTTTTGATCTCCCCTTTCAACCGAGCTTACACAGCGTACCCTGCAAAACGGCAAACACCTGCTTTTTGTCACGGTCATCATGTGCTAGGCTGTGCAAGGCCATTCTTCTGTTGCTTGATTGATCTTTAGGTTTGGAGCAACCCTTGTATGAGCCAACAAACAAATATTGTTTCCTGAACAGGACACGGGGAGACTTGGGTATTTCCCCATGTCCTTCTCAGACCGGTAGAATGAGAACCAACAGCATCAGTGACCCATGTACTCATAGGTGGCCTTTTGGAAACATAAATGGCCCTGGTAATTAAATGGAACAAACCCCATCTAAACCAGTGCCATCTATCTTTAACCAAGCCAACCTAACAAGGAGGCCTATGCATGTACCTCTTAGGTTTAAAGCACCGCACCAAGGGACCTCAACACCTCAACGCCCACTCGTGATGCAGGAGTAAGTGCGGGTTTCACCCAAGGGAGACCTCATACAAACTGTGGACTTTTTTCCCGGGCGAGGATTCAAGCAGAGTTTTCAAGCTTAGGGAATCAATTTCTCGAAGCTTCATATTTCAGGATCAAGAACCCAGTCTGATCAGCTACTTCGGACGCTCGGCTACAGCGAGCGGGCGGGGGGGGGGGGGTACCAAAGGGCAACCTCTATCAAAGGACACAAACCAACACCAGCCTTGTGCAATTGCCTAAACCGCGGTCTGTTCCCAAAAACCCTACATCCTCGAAAGTGATCCTTAAGTTTTGAGGGCTAGAAAGAGCCAAGAAACATATTGGAGGATCTTTTGGAGTGACATAAAATCAGCCAAGCTTGCTTCGGATCCATTAAAGCGACGTCCTCAAACTCACCCTCTGCTGGGTGTCTCTGTTTTAAGGGTGCCTTTGGATAGCTTTAAAACAACACCAACTCTTGGTCGCTGTTGACCCCTCAAAAAGTCTTTGACTCGTGGCTCCAATTCGGCTAGTCCTCCAGTAGAGAGGTTGGAATAAGGGTACCTTTTTTTCTCTGGTCTCTTTTAGCAGGGGAACCCTCCCCCCCAAAAAGTTGGTAAAAGGGCACCACTGAAAAACCTCGTCGGAAAATCCGAGCTGCTTCAACAAAGGCCACCTCCAAAAAAAACGAAGAACCCGAAACACCTCCCGCCCTCCGCACCGAGGAAACGCCAACGAAGACGCCCGCCCCAATTTCAGGCGCCTCCAAGGGGAACTCTTGGCGCCAAGCCTTCGAGCAGAACTGTCCGGGTTCAAAGGGTCGGGCCGCCGGAAAGTCTGCCGGAGCTTAAACAGCTTGTATTAAGGGGGTGTCTTGGGGCAAATTCTGCCGCAAACAACAGCTTGTTTAAGGTTTATTCGGGGCAAATTCTACAGGAGCACAGCTTGTTGAGGGTGTTTTGGGGCAAAAACCGCCGGAAAAGGGCTTTTCTTTAGGGTGTTTTTTGGGCCATGTCCTGCAGATTCGTTTTTGCTGCAACCAAACCCTTTGACAGTTGATGTCCTTCGTGTGATAGCTAGGGAATGACCAAGTCCGGGTGTTGGGAATGAACCGTTTGGCATTCCCTTGAAGGAACCATTGAGTAGACCATTTTAACCCCGCTGCCCAGCGGCCCCCCTTTTTTGGGGAAGGGTTCTCCTTTAAACTTCATCAATAAAGGGTGCATTTTTTTTTCCCATGGAACACCCCCCGGTCATCTGAGTTACTTGCTGGTTCTCAGCAGGATCGGATTGATGAAACATCTTAAGACATATCCATCCAGCAATTCTCAAAAGATTAAGCCTTTGTTCTTTTCCGAAGACTTCTTGACTCAATACATTAATTAAAGCCAGCATTGCATGCAAATAATTGAAAAAGGCGGCTGCACCCATTTTTGGTTGGGATAACTTTCTACCCTTTATCTATCCGCAATTTCATGGTGGCTCATTTGGGGTGCTTAAATAGGGGGACCCCACAAAGTGGTGGTTGTCCTTTTGGATTCCCATGCATCTTGAAATGGGTACCCTGAAAAACACCCACCCACCTGAAGGTCGGTCACCCTACGCACAAGCTCGCTGTTGTTTGAGTCACTGTTTGAGGCTCGGTACTCTGTTCAGATTGAACAAAAACAAAAGCAACACTTGAAGTCCATGAATCTGTTCTTGACAAGTTCATCAAGGGCGAACATGTGAGATGTTCGCAAACGTTGTCTCAGGAAGGGGTGGTCCCCAACTCCCATTATAGTTAGTCTCGCTCACTGGGAAAATGGAATCTAGTGGAACTATAGACGGGATTCCAACAGTCACCCCGTAAGTGCAAGTGGCTCCCTGTAGAGGCTTTGTGTCAACAAACAAGCAGCCTCAGGGGGAAAACACACAGGTTAGAATAAGGGTACCGACTTGCTTTTTTGCTTTTTGTTTCTGTAGTCTATTTCAGTAAGGGAACCTTCCCCCAAAAAAGGGTGAGAAAGGGCACTACTGGGGGACCTAGACACACAATCAAAAACAGTCTGACCTTCTTGGCTTCAAAAGGAGTCTTGATTTTAGGAATTAGGAAGCATACGTGTTGCTTGATGACGTCAAGAAACAGCGCTGGCTTCCATGTGTGCGGTTCGAGCACTCCCCGCTGTCACTCTCCGGCAGAGCAACTCTGTTGCAATGGGCCCAAGCGGCAAACAAACACTTGAGAGTGAGTGTAGCGGTTGGTTTGGGGCTGTTTTCGTTTTGGTGCGGGCTTTTCGGGGGTTTAGTCGCGGTTTTGACGTCGGGTGGCTTGGTCCAGAGTTGGTTTGGGGCGGGTTTTGGGAGGCTTTCGTAGGGCGAATTTTGTTGGGTTTCGTGTGGGTTTAGGGGGGTTTGGTTGCGGTGGAATGATTTGAGCTGGGTTTTGTGGAGGGATTTCGAGTTGGTTTCGGGTAGTTTAGGCATTGTTTAGCGCGGGTTTAGCCGTGGGTCTAGGGTTGGGAATGGGTTTGCAAACTGGCGAAACTCCGCGCCCGAGGATTGCAAACTCCCCGAAGGATTGCTAACTTGTCAACCTGCCATTCGCTCAAGGTAAATCAAAAACCAAACAAAACCTGAAAACGAAGCTCAGGGAGGCGCCAGTGCTCTCAACCCCTCACCAGATCAAACAGTTTTTTTTTTCCGCCCAAACTCGCCCAAACGGTCCTCCAGATTTGAGAGGTGAGAATAAGGGTACCAACTTTTCTTCTGTCTAAGTAGGGGAACCGAATCTCCCAACCAAAAACGGGGGTGAGTTGAGGGGCCAAGGTCGCGTCGCCTGGCTGCGCTGCCGCACCGCAGCGGCGAACTGCTCTTTCAGCTCCGCCACCTGCGATCCGATTCGACCGAAGGCAGAGCCTTCACTCGGCGCCCAAAATGCCACCAGTTGCTCCAGAAGTGGCCGGTCTCTGTGTTTTCTCAGCTTCACTCTTGGGTGGTTTGGAACCCGGCTGGTGAAATGCAGGGGTTTCCCATCTACCCTCTACAAAACCAGGCTGCGAATCCGAATCCAAACCACCAATTAGGGGTTACCTGAAAAGGTGCAACGCGCGAATCGAAAAATGGAATTGAATGGACCATGGACAACAACAGGTCACTGTTTCTGGGTGGCCAGTCATGCAGCACGTCGCAAGGTTCTTTTGTTGAGGGAAAGTGAGAAGCGGAGCAAGATGGGTTGTGTTTTGTTTGGTCGCGGATTGAGTTATGCCGGCGATCATTTCGCCGGAAGAATTGGGTAGGGTACCATTCAACTCAACGAAATCTAGGCCATGTTTGTGGAAAAACCATGCTTTCAATTGTTGGACCTTGCTTTGTTGTTGTGTGGGTACCCAGGTTGAACAAGAGACCACCCCAAACGTGTAGATGATACCTTCCGCTGGAGAGGGTCCTGCCAAGTGGGGCGAGATGGGTCGAACTCCAAGCAGCAATCAAGTGAGCCAAGTATATACTTTTAGGGGTGAACTTCCCCATTCCAGGGATCTTTCTTTCCAGAAAACCACCAAAACCCCCGGGAAAGAACCATGGCTGAAAAGAATGGGGAATCACCCCCTAGAATAGTCTGTCTTGGTAGGGGAACCTTTTTTGAAAAGGGTTTTCAGGGCACTACTGAGGGACCTAGACTGGGCAAACGAGCAGTTCTCTCACCAAAGAGCAATGAAATGACTCATTGCCAATTGGATCCAGTTGGTGTGGCGTATGGCGTTTGACTAATTGGTTCTTCCTTCATGCCCGAAAAGGTTTTTCTCATGAATGCCCGAAATTGAACCTGATTTCATAGACTTGAACTTAAAACAAAAAAACAGTCCCTGACTCACTTAGCTAGACTTAAATAGGAACCCGCAGGCTTGAGCTCAATACACCCTAGCAATACTCACCTCCGTGGATAGCACCAAGAAAAGTCCAAGCTGTTTCACGTTTACCAAAAAGGTTTTCCCAAAAAGTACAAAGTCCATGGACTCCGGAAGTGAGAGTACGTATCTCCAGCTGCGCGATAGCTAAGCCGGCAAGCCAGCAGGATGTCGTGGGTTCCGTGGCCATAGAATTTCAGGGTAAAACCTCGTCATAACATCTAGGTCCTCCAGTGGAGAGGTTAGAATAAGGGTACAAACCGTTTTCTGTCTATTTTAGTAGGGGAACCCTCCCCCAAAGGAGGGTGAGAAAAGGCAATACTGGGGACCTTGACATGCTTGAGGCCTGATCATGTTCTCATGGACGACCGATAGTTCGCTCCGAATACGCCGAACCCTTTAGTCTCGCAACGAGAGAAGTATGGAATTTTGATGGCTCATGCGATGCGCCGTTACCTTCCCTGGAAACGAATTCCAAGATGAAGTCTTGCCGTGTTTCAACATGTCTGCTGGCAAGAACTGGTAGCCCCATGCAGAAAACATATATAAGTTCATGCTTTACTCGACCTTCCCTTGAATGCTCCGTTTTTGGTGACTGAAGTTTCACGATGCCGCCACGACGGGCAGCAGATTGAGTCGCCTGCATCGAGGAGTCAAAGCTTCCCTGGCAATAGCAGCCAGTGGGCGGGAGCCAAACCGAGGACCAGTTGGCGCAATCTGCGTCCGGTCGCAGTGCATCACACCATTTCAAAGCCCGGAGTATCTCCTCGTTCTTGAGAATGTTGATCACCGCCCGAATGTCCGTGTTGTGTGCCCAGTGGAATGACCTGACTGCGTTTGCGCGAAGGTTGATAGAATGCATTGGTGAGGGTAGTTTCCTGTTGAAACCCGCGACTCCGTCTCCAAACGCTAAGCCATTCGGCTAAAGTAAGTTCAGTCAGCAGCCGAACCTCAGAAATCTCCTACGACTTCCGCGGGGTAGCTTCCATCTGGCTGGTGCGTGGAAACATCCTGTTTCTTCGTTCGCTGTTGTTTTGAGCGTAACATGTGTATAAACCCAAACCGCATTTCTTCGTCCCCGCAAACCATCCAGTGCACGTCCTCGAGTGGAGAGGTGAGAATAAGGGACCCGATGTTTTCCTGTAGTCTATGAACCCTAGGGGGCTTAAAACGGCACCTAGCTGGGGGACCTTGTTGACGAGCCGACCGGCTTGCACATCTCAGCACATAAACAGCTGGTGCCGCTTTGGCCTCCATCCCAGACGGAGGTGTGGCGCTGACCTGCAAAGACCGTAAAAGGCACTGATTCTGATGGACTCACTTGCCCAAAGGACGACTTTGGAAGGGGAGCAACAATTTTAACGCCTCCGGCTCAGGCCACCGACATTCCAGGCCTGCTTGCTTATTTGCGTCCCTTTGGAGTTGTTCCCTTGCCCCTTCCCCTCTCGGATCTTTCCCCCCCGTCCCCTGCTTGAGATCTCCCCCTTTCCCTGTTGAGATCCTTTCCCCCCTTTCCCCCCTAAGGCCTTTTCCGCCCTAAGGCCGTTTCCCCCCTGAGATCTTCTCCCTTTTCCTCCCTAAGATGTTTTCCCCCCTTTCCCTGTTGAGATCCTTTCCCCCCTTTCCCCCCCTAAGGCCTTTCCCCCCCTGAGATTGTCTCCCTTTTATTGTTGAGATCCTTTCCCCCCTTTCCCCCCTAAGGCCTTTTCCCCCCTGAGATCTTCTCCCTTTTCCTCCCTAAGATCTTTTCCCCCCTTTTATTGTTGAGATCCTTTCCCCCCTTTCCCCCCTAAGGCCTTTTCCCCCCTGAGATCTTCTCCCCCTTTCCACCCTAAGATCTTTTCCCCCCCTTTCCCTGTTGAGATCCTTCCCCCCTTTCCCCCCTAAGGCAGTTGCCCCCCCTGGGATCTTCTCTCCCTTTTCCTCCCTAACATCTTCTCCAATTTCCCCCCTTAAGATCTTCATTTCCCTTCTTCACTTTCCTTCACTTCCATTCATGTGCCTTTGTGTCTGTTGTGTGCTTCCTTTTCCTTCATTTCATGTCATTCATTTCCTTCACTAGCATGTACAACATCCCCAGCATCACTTGCATCATCCACATTCTTGGCAGGCGCTGATGCGGATGATGCAGGCGATGCTGGCGATGCTGCCCAGGATGCTAAGGATGCAAAAACGGACCTGGAGGATTTAGTGGAACGTCTTGGAATCACCGCGTGGCATGTTACTCCCCCCCTCACAATATCCTTGTAAGGGAGCATTTCGTAGGTCAAGTTTTAACAATTAAGTAGGGATTCCCACTAAACCACAATAAGCACAAATGTATATTTTTCCCAATAGCAACCATGTTTGGAGCCATAACTAAACTAGGTCCAGAGGTTGGAATAAAGGTACCAACAATTTTCTGCAGTTTATTTTAGTAGGGGAGCCCTCCCCCAAAAAAGGGCACAAGGGCACCTAGCTGGGGGACCCTAGTAAAAGTGGACGCAAAAAGAACCATGTTCAGCCCAAGAACCGAAAAAACAACCTAAGCTCGCGCCATTTCCAATTGGAACATCCGCCCACTCCCTGCTCCCCAGCGTCGCTCCGCACTAGAGCCGTTTTTTGGATGAACAACAAAAATGCGCAGCTTGTTTTTAAGGAACCATCATCTTCAGGCCGTTGCCACTTTCCAAGACCCACTTGCCCAAGGGGCGTGGAAATCAAAGGTTCGCCTAACCCTTTTCTGGGGGCCGCTAATGAAAAATCGGCCAAACCTGCGGGAAACCAACAGATTACAAGACAACGTCGATTCGCTTTCAGCTTGCCAGTTCGATGAGGGGGGAAAAAAGACGGGGCAGGTGCTCCATCGAGGGCATCCTTCACATCTGTGCAGCTCTGTAAGACCTCTGGTGCTCTTTTGCGATGTTGCTTCCATGTAAACTTCAGCATCCTACAAACAACATGAAGGTGAAAACACTCGCTTGGTGGCTCAGTCAGTCACCATGAGATACCGACCGTCCGGAGAAGAGACTTGACAATCAATATGTGAAACACATACAGCAGTACAACTTTTACGCTTCCTTCCCCCTGCATATCACTCAAAACCATTGAGAAGATCATCTGTATGAAAAAACGGCTCCCGGACCTTCCGAGTTCAAATTCAACTGTTTTGCCTTTTCGCAGGTTGCTTGCGTGTCTGGGGGCGCGCATGGGCGCGCATTGGATCTGTGCCTTTGCGGGTGTTGTCAAGGTACTATCGTGGTCTGTGGTGCGTGGTGGGGGCTGCGCTGGTCTTTGTCTTCCGGGTCTGCAGAACCGTTGTGGTGCTTTTGGGGATATCACCTGGGTTTATTCTGACTAAAACAAGTTGACATGTCAAAACAACATATTAAAAACATAGTTCAAGTCAAATTGCCATTCAACACATGAACAAGAGCGCACGCTCACAGCGACGAGCTCTCTTTCTTTTCGGGCGGGTATCTCCCCAAATACCAAAAACATGTGGAGATCGAGACGGATATTTTCGGTTTAGGGGTTGAAGCTTCAGCTTGGGTCAGCCATCAGCACCCAACGCCAGTGGCTCTCGAGTCTTTCGCCTCCGCTTCCAGCTCTGGCGGCTCGTCGTTCCTGCGTGCTCTGCGTGGTTTCGATTGCCCGGTTCACCGCGTGGTGTCCGAGGTTCCATGACCAGACCTTGGGTGCGGTTGACCTGCAACAAGTCTTTAACCTTTTGGGGGGTTTAGTGGAAAACCCCTTGATTTCCCAAAAAGTGAAAGAAAGATCCAACCCAGTAGCAGTCAAGAGACTCTGGTTAGCAACATGTGCCGAATTGGACCGGTGGCACCACGGTTCTTGATGGGGCATGTGGAGGTGTGTGTGGTTTTGACACGCTCACCCCTAGGTTCGGTTCTGTGACTGCAGATTTTGGGCTGCGGGGCCCGAGGTCGATAGAATGGGTTGAGCTACAAAAGATGCAGCCTTGCGTTGCCTAGGTCCTCCAGTAGAGAGGTTAGAATAAGGGTACCAACTTTTGTTCTGTCTATGTTAGTAGGGGAACCCTCCCAACCAAAAAAAGTTATTAAGAGAGCACTACTGGGGGACCTAGCCCAACCAAAAATGGGGGTGAGAAAGGGCACCAATTCAATTGCTGGGGTACCGAATTAGTTGCCGACCTGCGCGAAACATGGCTTGGCCCGGCGTGGGCGGCGAAGGATCGGTGATATCGGTGGATTCCAACCGAAGCTACGATATAAAGAACGGAGCTGATGTTTTGCCTGGTGGAAAGCAACGGGGACCCCAAAAAATCAAACAACATAAAAAGGGCCAGACGAATTCTGGGAACGATCTGCATCTTGAAGTATTCCCCAAAGAGGTTCCTAGCACCTCCTGCTGGGATAGCTTAAAATGGAAGCAAGGGAATTACACACGGGCCCACCATTTTGAGACAAACATGTGTAGAAAGTGTCAGTTTTTTTCCCATACGGAATTTGGCCGGGGAATATGTGCGGCGCTCGCTGTACGGGTCTGCTTTTCGGCTTGAAAAGCCAGGAGGAACTGTGCCAAGATCACCCTCCCCCTTTTCACATGGAACCTGGCCCTGACGTTTGGCACCCGGTCTCTTCAAAAGGAACATGGTCCAAGAGACCCCCCGAAATGTCAGGTACCAGGCTCAGTGGTGGGAGGGCAAAATTGGACTTTTGTTGCTGCTTGCACACATGGAACAAAAAACGAACAAACGCCATTTTGGGATCGCCTCCCCCCAACTTGCTGCACATTTGGGTA